ATGTGCTACAAAAATCTGAACGTGGAAGCAGTTTTGATTGTAACAGCAAATGGAGGAATTACAAGACATTCCTCATTTATGCAACACAAGGCATACGTTTAATGCCATAACTCCAACAGAGTGCAACCATATATATGGTCTTGGTTGGTTTATTTATAAACAAAATTTGCAGGATTGTCTAGAAATTAGACAAACAAGATTTTTTTAGTATTTGATCCACTAACCTACAATTATGAAATCAATAAGGAGAAAATAGGCCAATTCTACAGTATGTTTGATAGAAGGAACTCTAGAACTGGATTGTTTCACTTGCCTCCAAACATTTGTTGAGAACTGCGATGCCCTTTTCCATCTGTCTTGAGAATCAAACATATAGTAGTTTTATAATTCTCTAAATTTAATTCTTGTTAAGTTTATTACATTTCTTATTTTTATTTTTCTTCTGTAGAAAGGCTCAAGGTCATATAATGTGTTACTATGACATTATTTTGTCAGATCTTATTTGACAGAATGTACTTGAACCTAAAAAGGCACAAGTGTCTAAAGTAGATAAACAAGATATGTGAGGAAGGAAGAAAACCATCAGTTTTGGCTGTATAATATATTAATGTAGTTCAAAATGTTGAACTACATTAATTTCTGCAAATCATTGCAGAAATTATAAATAAGTTTTAAATTTGCTATACATTTTTGCTATACATCTAAAATATAGTCAGTATTACTGAGACTAGAACTGGGCAGCAGAATCAGGAAGCTGACATGACCATAAAACATGTCTCTCCTATGATTCTGCATGTTCATACAAACATATTTGTTTACCTCGATAACTCGGTTGCAAAGTCCCTCTCGGTGCAGCTGCAGGTTTAATTTGCTAAAGCTTATTACTCTTACTAGATACTGACATACATAGGATGATATGTTTTTTTTAGCCAAAAAAGACTCTCTATATTTCAGTTTAATTTATTTATATACTGTAGGTCACAGCCAATGTTCAGGTCCGATAATGGGGATAGTTTAAGATACAGAAAATAAAAAAAATGCTGATTCAAGATAAGCTGTACAGGAAAATCAGCAGACTTTACGCACACTTATATGCACCTCTTTTTGACTTGCCAATGTGGTTTTGTTTTTTTCCAATCACCAGGTATGGTCAGCAGGCTGAAGCACATTGTATCCAATCGGGCACGACCTCCATCCACAGCAGGATTGGGTTACGGTAAGAGCATATTTGAACTACAGTCAATCAAACTTTCAAATATTGTTGTTCTCTATCAAGACATAACAGTTCCCCTAATTAATTTGTTAAAGCTGAAGGTATGACGACACATTTTTTTTCTAATTGAAAAGTGTTGAAATTAAATCTGCTGTGTATTCTAAAAATAAAAATAAACACTTCTGAAGCACTTTTATAAGACACAAGACATATTTAGGAGCCTTATAATAGAGTTTCCTAAATTAGTCTTGCGTGAAAATGGCTGATGCCACTGGGGCACTGTGTGATATGAGAAACTTTTGACAAGACTAAACTTCCTTCTCTTTGTGTTGCACTTAAAGGCTTGTATTTTGTGCAATTTTAAGTATAAGATTGTCTTAAAAAACTGAAGCCAAAGACAAACTGGGCATTCTGAAATAACCAAAAAACAGTAATGTCCAAACTTTAAGGGAACAGTCTATACCTTTCATACTTGCTTAAGTTATTCTCTACAGAATAATTTGTTTGTTTTTAAGTTAATTGTCTCACAGTGTATCCACATTTTATTCAGAGTTTGGATTTTCCAAGTTCACAAAATAAGAATGTGTATGCATTTAATGGTAGTAAATGTGGGGGAGTTTAATATTACAGTATTAGTTTGTCATGAAATAAAAAGAGAAAAATTGAAAATATTTTAAATGGAGTTATAGCTACTGTCTTTATGCCAATTAGCTGTTTAATCTTACATCTTTTGGTCAAGCTGACTCATTGTTTTCACACAATTCTGCAAGGGAGCTATAAAGCTTGTCAAATTTACTTCTTAACTTCTGCTTCCAAGTTTCAAGCACTGAAATGCATCTTACTTTCTTCAGGTGTTTGGGAGATCGACCCTCGTGATCTAACATTCATCAAAGAGCTGGGAAATGGCCAGTTTGGAGTGGTGAAGTATGGGAAGTGGCAGGGCCAGCATGATGTGGCCATTAAGATGATTAAAGAGGGCTCCATGTCTGAGGATGATTTTATAGAAGAAGCCAAAATCATGATGTAAGGCTACAGAACTTATGTGTCAAATGAGGAAAGCATAAATGCATTGAAAAAAAAACGAAAAAAAAACTACTTAACTTTCTTCTAATTTTTCTCAAATAAGGAAGCTTCGCCATGAGAATTTGGTGCAGCTGTATGGCGTCTGCACCAAACAAAGACCTATTTATATTGTGACTGAGTTCCTTGCAAATGGCTGCCTTCTGACATACCTAAAAGAAGGCCTGAAGCAGCATCCAACAACCGTCCAGCTTCTTGAGATGTGTAAAGACGTATCAGAGGGCATGGCCTATCTTGAAGTACAGCAGTACATCCACAGAGACCTGGTGAGCAACAAGGACATCCTATTAATAAACAGTAGCAAAAAATCTCAATCAATTCCAATTAGGGACTGGATAACCTCTGGTTTGGTATTACATGATAAGGCTAGAAGTTTAATGATTATGCTTGATCCACAATGTGTTGTTTGTTTTATCTTTAGGCTGCCAGGAACTGTCTAGTAGATGCTAATGGCACAGTCAAAGTGACTGACTTTGGTCTGTCAAGGTAAAGCGTTAATGTGTAACAAAATTGAAAAAAATAAAATAGGCATGTGAGTGTACAATGCTGTGTTAAAAATCCTTTCCCATGCCCCTAGATATGTTTTGGATGATGAGTACACAAGCTCAGCAGGCTCAAAGTTCCCAGTTCGCTGGTCACCTCCAGAAGTACTGCTTTACTGCAAATTCAGCAGCAAGTCTGACATCTGGGCCTACGGTGAGGAAATGCAGCTGTTTATTTCTTCTTATTTACTGCCAATGAAATTACAAGAATGGTAGTTTTAAACTTTAAAGGTGAACTTTATCTGTTTATAAATTTTGCAAACTTTATGGACTTTGTGTCTGATTATGACAGTATCTGGTGCAGTGTTTAAACATAAAACACCAAGGCCAATATGCTAGTTTTCCATTTGAATTAAGCAATTTTACAACCACAGACAAAAAAATTCTGAAAACTGTCAGGTACTAAGCAGACAACAAACTTTAGTGGACATTCAGAAAGCCTGGAAAGAGGTGATAAATGATAATGACTCAAGACTTATGCAAAGCATCTTTTCTGAGTGGTTTCAGCTCTTTAAACATTTCTTTGTTCTTCATCAGGCGTTTTAATGTGGGAGGTGTACACTCTGGGGAAGCTTCCATATGAACGCCTCAACAACACGGAAATAGTGGATCAGGTGTCCCGAGGCCTGCGCCTTTTCCGTCCACAGCTGGCCAATGAAAAGGTCTACAGCATCATGACAAGCTGTTGGTCTGATGTAAGCTCTTTTCCTCTCACATTCAGAAAATACTGACATGAAAAGCGTTAACAATCAATGTTTGCCTTTGTTGTACAGAAAGCAGATGAGAGACCCACCTTTCAGGAGCTGGCACTGACTGTTCAGGATTTGCTGTATGAACTCCAATAGACCAGAGAATAATTTATGTAACACAAAAAAACTTCTCTGATCCCCGTAGAAAAGCTCCTCATGGATCCCTGAAGACAAAGCATCGTTAATACAATTGAAACCTTCAATGTGGGAGTGAGCAGCATTTTAAGGCTTATCTAGAATGTGAATAGGTTTAATGCAAATGTCACTTTTAGTCACTAGCTTTCTCATCACATTAATAAAAATGCAATCCTATGAATCCTATTTAGATTTTTTTTATATTATACTGAAGGTTGCTCAATTAAAGCATGATATTTTTGTTTCTTGTACTCTGAAATCATTGCAAACACCTTTGTATGTGAAAATAACCTTTGTAAGCTAATATGTGTTGCACAAATAAACACCAAGTAAGAAGGGCTTGCAAATGTATGAAATACAAATATCAGCAATTTTCAGTTTATATTCAATCTATTTGCACAAGCATTTTTAAACAAAGCAGATGTTTTTATAGAAAAATATCTGGAAGCATTACTGGTCTTAAAAACATTCCTCCTTTATCCATCCATTGCTTTCCTCCAATAAAGCTAATAAAATACCACAAAAAGCATAAATATTCAAATACCATACAGTAAATGGTATAATTAATACATACTTTATGTTTCTTAAACAAAGACAAAGTTTATAAATATTTTTAACAGCAATGATATATTCAGTATTCTATACATTAATCTATAACGTAGCTTGTAAGATATAAGTAATTAACTGATCATAATATCTCACGTAATATAAAATAATGTCATCAGACAAACAGAAAAATATCAATTTATGTGCAAATTCTAATCATTTAAAGACTAGAATGAAAAATTTAACAGAAATAAAAAACTTAATGACAAAATCACAAAAATTAAAAGGTGGCAACTTTCTAAGTCAATTTACTTCAAAATAGAAATATGAAATTAATACTTACAGCATTAAGTTAATATTAACACTGTGTTCTACTTTACCCTGTTAAGAGAGAGTAAAGTGAAAGTAAAAAGCAATGTATTAAAACTACTCCTTTTTTCAAAAAATTTACTCAAGCAAATGTATCAAATTACTATCTACCTGTGGTTGTAATTTCAAGCTAAGAAAGGTTTATAAAAACATACTGAACGTCTTTTATAAATATAATATAATATAATATATAATAATATAATATATAATATATAATATAATATAATATAATATAAATAATATATATAATATAATATAATATAATATATATAATATAATATAATATACTTATGGGGCTTCATGAAGTTACGTATACGTGACCTTCTGCTACAAAAACGCGCTTCGTGATTGGCTGAACGACTTCCGGCTTCCCGTTGTTCATATCCACACGTGAAGGTCAGCAAAAAACAGCCTCTCCGCGTTTATAATTAGAATAAATATCGGAACTTCGACGTTTTTTGCCGACATGGACGGCCAAGGAGCTTCAGCGGACCCTCAGCTTCAACATTTCATCGAAATCGAGTCTCAGAAACAGAGATTTCAGCAGCTGGTGCATCAGATGACTGAGGTTTGCTGGGTAAGAGAGGAGCACAGTTCAGCATGTTGATTTTTTTTAATCAACTTCTTTACGATAGGGACTTGTGCAGTTGCTGCAGCTATAGACAGATGGTGCGCTTGTTGTAAACATGCAATAATTTCCTTCAGTAAATTTCCTAATAAACTGATGGCTGGACAAATTGTTCATTATAGACATTTGTGAAACTTAGACGCCGCTTCTCAGCTTAATTTTATTTTCACGTAATTACTTTCCGTCTGCGCTGCATGGACCTTAATTAAGAAGATTGTCTATATTTATTTTCCCACTGTAAAATAAATTTAGGGCGCTAACTCGGCTGACTAAAAACAAACAAAAAAACAGCGTAAATACAAAACTTTTTGATTGAACATAATATAAGTAAATGTTTTGCTTATAAATGACAACATATGGTTTTCTCGACGCAACCTGCAAGTATAATAAAAAGTATAAAACGCCGCTGGACCTAAATGCTTATTCGAAACGTCACATTACGTCACAACCAGTGCCACGAGCTGTTTTAAGCTTCAATTCAATTCAGTAATACTTTATTAATACCAAATGGAAATTAAATGTTGAAACTTATATCACCCAAGGTTCCAGAGTCGGTTTAGAGACTGATGGCTGTAGTTAGGAACAATCTCCTGTAGCAAACTGTGCTACAGCGTATTTAAAGAAGCCTCTGACTGACGATACTGTGCTGTTGTAGAGCAGAATCATAAAGGGGTTGCCCAAAATTTTCTTGATTTTTATTATTATTATAAAGAATCGATATTTGAAGCACTTTTATGAGCTATAATTTAGTCTCTTATGTTTATTAGCTTTTTAATGGAGTTTCTGCATTTTGTTCATGTGTGAAAACTCTTGCTGCAGCCAGCCAGGTCTTTGTGATATGAGACTTTTTGTTTGGTTTGTAATTTTGTGTATATATTGTGTATAAGCAATATTTAGAAAAATACTAATACAATATAAATATTAGGGCTGGAACAATTCCTGTAATGATTAGAGTACCTCGATTATTAAAATTCCTCGAGGAAAACTTGCCTGTCTCGAAGCTTCCTTCATTAATGTTTTATTATTTTCTCCACCCCCATCAACCTCCATCTTACGTTCGTTCATTGCCCCCCTCAACTCCCCCACCATCTTTTAAAAAAACTTTAAATAACTCTTATACACACAGACATTAGACATTAATGTTGACATTAATTTTAAGTTTTTAATCTGCAGATTAATTGTAAAAATAATTGATTGATTGCTTGATTGCTAAAATATTTGTTTACAACACCCTTTAGAAATATTAATGCTAACATACAATACTAAGAAACTTTTTTTTATTGATCGTTTTGCTTTACATTTTTACCCCCTTATTAATTTATTTTATGATTGCTTCTTAGTATTGTTGCCTCCTGCATAATAGTCACATTATTGAGATTTTATTACTGAGATTTACCATGGTGATCTGAATGGTAAAGCACCACTAATAATATCTACCCAAACTGAAAAAAATCCACTTAATTTATGTTCTTTTAACAATCCTTCTCACTAATGAGGAACAAAAAATCATCTAAAAGCTTGTGCTTTGTACTAGGGATAAATAGAAGATAAGAAAAGTGAACAGCATTATTGGCTTTCCTTTAACTGACTGACTGATGTGTTGTAATTACACGTGTAGGCCTCTGGGTGGCAGTGAAAGGGATACAAAGTTTCATCTGCACCACTTTTTGTTTTTCTGTTTGTGTGGTTTAAAATATTGAGCTAAGTTGTCTTAAACTCCAGAACTAGCTTTTATTTAAACTCAAATAGTTTTGTAGTTGTAATAAAATCAAATATCTGTGAAGCACAAATACTTTTATTGCATTCATTTTTTATGTGAAAGTATTATTTGAGTTTTGGCTTATTTTTAGTAATCTGCATCTGGAATGAAATTTAACATGCTTTGCTGGTAGTACATAGTACTCCGTATAGTACATATGTTAATATAAAGCTGATCAAACCTTTTGCAGTTTATCAAACTAATTTAGGTACAAAAGATTTTGAATATCTGTCCATTTATTTCTCATTAGATTGTTTTATGCTTGTGCTTAAATTATTTAAAAAGATAAAAATCTATTCATAAACGTGACTCTGACACCACAAGTGGCTCTTTATGCTCTCCAATGACTCCTAATAAGATTGAATGAAAATAATAAAAAACACAAAAAATCTTCAAATATTGATATAACAAGTGTGTTTTTTTATTATTAATAATTTAACAAAACAGAATGAGGCTAAAAAGTATCAGTAATGTTTTTCAGTCCATTTGTCTTACTAAGTTGGAACCTTTGTGCTTTTCTAAATATGTATACTTCCACTTTTTGTGAATGTTTCATTTTTTTCTCTCTTTCAGAAATAAAGTAGAAGTAAACATTCTGTACAAATAACAACACATTAGATACTTATGAAAGATTACAAGTATTTTTTTCTGGATGGTCTTGTAACATTTGCATCTCCAAAAGTTTTATTTTTTCTAAATTGAGAGCTTTACAAGGGAGATTCCTGGCTTAAACAGTATGTAAAATCTGTGTGTGTGCATGCATCTTGTCTCTTTAATCTAAACTAGGTTTTCCTGTAGTAAAATAGAATAGTGAAGTATTTCCCTCTGTATGTTTGATGTAAATCAGTCTCGAAAATGTTTCTTCTCATAGTTTGTGTGTGTGTCTTTAGGAAAAGTGCATGGATAAACCGGGACCCAAGCTGGATTCCAGGACTGAAGTCTGTTTCGTTAACTGCGTGGAGCGATTTATAGACACCAGCCAGTTCATCCTGAACAGATTGGAACAGACTCAGAAGAGCAGGGGAGGATTCTCTGAGACGATGTTGGATTAAAAACTGTAACTGGAAGTTTTATAGAAAAAAAAAGTTTAAAAAAATCAATCAAACAAACAAAAAAACATGCTCATGCTGTTTGGTCCAAATACAGCAGTCTGTACAGTAAGCTGAAGAGTCCAGTCAACTGGGAAACAACCACAACAAGTGTTACCTTGAAAATAAGTGCCTGACGTCTAAACCATGTACAGACCTGGGTAAAAGTTTAGGGTTGTGTTTTGTGACTACAGGAAGACGAGTGTTGAGGTGGTGGTTTGTTGCTGACTGTCAGCTTTTTGAATTCATGTTCAGATGGTGACGTTTGATTATGATGAGATGTTTTTCAGATACATGGACCAAAAATCTCTATCTGAAAAACATGGATTTTTCAGAACATGGATTTTTGTAACAACTTCTTGACCGAAGATCAGTACTCAAAAGACTGGACTGTAAATATGCAATAAACAAAATGCCAAATAAGTATGTGCATCCTTTTTAAAATGCTTGAACAATGTATGTAAGAAGTCTGCACATCTTGTCTAAATTTCCTATTTTTTTGTGATGTAAGAGAGATCATTTCAAAGCTAATCTTTATCTGGTAAAGCCACAGTTTTTTGTTGATTTGTCTAGGTGATTTTTTTCATTATTATTATTATTCTAAAAGATGAAGTTCTTCCACTTTCTTACTGAAGCCTGAAGCTTTTGTGTCAACATCGATTGATAATTGAAGCTCCCCTTATTTTCTGCTAGTTCCACTCCCAAATAATGATGCTGCCACCACCATGCTTCACTGGGTTTTGGTGATGTACATCAAATTCATTTGTTGGACCAACTTTAGTTTCATCATATTTTCTCACATGCTGCTTTGGGAATGTTTGCAACAATAAGTATTTTGTAAAAGTCTGTGAGATGGTTTTTTTTGTTTTTTAGATCCATCCATCCATTTTCTAATACCCTGGTCCCTAGTGGGGTCGGGAGGTGCTGGTGCCTATATCCACCCTGTACAGGTCGCCAGTCTGTCGCAGGGCAACGCAGAGACAGACAGGACAAACAACCATGCACACACACCTTGGGAGAATTTAGAGAAACCAATTAACCTGACAGTCATGTTTTTGGACTGTGAGAGGCAGCCAAAGTACTCAGAAAGAACCCACATATGCACAGGGAGAACATGCAAACATCCCGGGCTGGGAATCGAACCCCAGACTTTCTTGTTGCAAGGCAACAGTGCTACCAACTGAGTCACTGTGCTTGTTTTAGATATTTCTCTTTATTCAAAAAGGATTTTGTCTTCCACCCAATCAAATGGAAAACAGTGGTGATTACCGGAAATTTCTGCAACCTGTTAGATGCTGCTCCTGACCAGTTTTCTTCTTGATGTGTTTCACATAGTAAAATGTGGTTGAGAGTTGTGAAATAATTTATTCTTTTTACATCACAAAACCTGGCATTTTAAGAGATATATGCAGACTACTTTCATCCACTGTAAGCGCTTTGTTTTAATGAGACTTGACTTTAAACTAAATATACAGCTTGGCACATATTATGTTCTTTGGTTTAGATTTTTAACATAATGCTGAGGTAATACTGTAGCTCACCAATGTTTTCAAGAGCAAATGTTTGCTCCAATAAGTCTTAAGTTTCCTAATTATAGTAAAAAGTGCTAAACTATATACAGTGAATAAAAGAAATATTGAACACATCAAAATAACTTATTTGTTTTGGTTTCTATGTATGGATTTCTTGGGTTGCTACCAACATATGGTGAAAATTACATCTCAATAGCTTCAGAAATATGTTCAATAAAAAATTGTGATGTGTTCAATGTTTTACCTTCTGTATGTTGAAGCTTTCATGAACAAAGCAAAACACTTAAAAAACAAATATCAAAGGTACCCATGAACAAAAATAAATGATGTTAAAAATAGTTTGTCCCATTTTGTTTGGAACCAAAATTAAAAGTGTCTAAGGTTATAAATGAGATCTATTACAGAGATATTGCTATGGTAAAGCAAATGTATCATGCTTTGCTTGAAAAACATTGTAAAAGTCTTGAGAGGTAAGGATGAGTATACTGGTGCTTTTTTTATTCACAAGGCTCCTTTCTAGTCACCATCAATGTCATTATCTGCTCGCAAGTTATCAACAGGAAGAGCCGATGGATATTGGCCTTCAATTAGCAAATAAGGGGTTTTCCTCAAGTATAAAGGGAGGGAGTCCAGACTAAACGTAATGTCTTTAAAGGCATGAAGGAGAAAAATCCCTAAAATGATGGTGAGGAAGCCACTGATTGTCCCCACTGCACCATCAAAAGTCATTTTTAACCACTCCTTGAATAAGATGGCTGAGCAAGCCATGACGGACGTGGTGAAGAAGACGTAGTAAATTGGCGTGACAATGGAGGTGTTGTAGATGTCGAGCGCTTTGTTCAGGTAGCTGATCTGAATGCTGACGCAGATCGCCAGGCTGACGAGCAACGCCCAGAACAGGGGGTCCTTCAGCACCGCCGTCCCTGAAAACAGCTCTTTGATACCAATGCCAAGACCCTTGACACAAGAGACGGAGAGGGAGCCGATCACAGAGCAGATCAGGATGTAGACCAGGACATTCTTCTGTCCGAAGCGAGGAGCCACGGCAAAGATCAGGACCAGGCTGCTTCCAACAACACACACGGCAAAAACGATGAAGCCTGGTGGGAATATTTCAGAGGGAAACTTTAGAAAAACCTAGAGATAAAGATCCACAGATCCAAAATGAGGTACTTGGGTAATTTGATCACAGGTCAAAAAAACATACATTTTTAGGTAAGCCTGTCGCAATAAGTATTAAATCAATCACATGATAAATTAAAACAAGCTTCATCATTTTTACTTACATGATTGTATTTCTTGTGTTTTTGTTTTTTTTCTACCTGACTGAATGATAAAGGCCTCAGTCTGGTGCTTTGGTCCCGTTTTTGAAGGACAATTTTGTTTACAGAGATTTTAGAGTCCATTGTAAATGTCTTCCAGTTACAATGTTAACTGGAAGACATTTACAATGTTAATTTATAACAATGTTTATTATAAATTAAAGCTTATTGATCTTTGAGAGGGTGTACTTGCATCACTATGCCACTACTATTCAGTGATGGCATAGTTACTTTGAAAAACTAACTTTAACTGAATTAACTTAGATTACTGATTACTTGATTTGGAAAGTAACTAAGATATATTAAAAGTAACTTTTTTTAGTTACATTTATCACAGTAACTTCTGGGACAATTTATCATCCAGCAAAATTTGTTATTGTGGCATTTAGCTACTGCGTATGGAAAGTAGCACATTTAGGCCCAACTGGGAGTAACTGGTCCCTAGTTGGCATCAAAGTCTAAATCACAAGCTTTGTGTAATATAACCATCAACAGGTATTTGTGGTAAATATACAACACCTTAGCTGTATGGTGATTTCAGGCCAATTTGTAAAAAAGTCTACAAGTTGTCGAAAGACTCCACAGTCACAGATAAAGACATGAGACTACCTGGGTCCTTCAGTTTCTCAGCCATGGCGCTGAGCGAGGCAACTTCCTCTTCTTGCGGCGCATGGATCACCATCACCGTGGAACCCAAGATGGAAAGCAGGCAACCAATCTTCCCGTGAATATTCAGCCGCTCATTTAGAAAATATGACGAGAGCACAGCACTGGGAAAGTTCAGGTATTGTTTGTTAAACTTTTGCACAAATGTGTCAAAGCATTTTTATGAAATCCAAAATAAAATGAACAAATATTCTATTAGTTTTTCTCAGTTTCAGGTAAAGGTCAGAAGGTATTTTTAATTATCTGCTCATATTCCTTTTACAAATGTATGGAGGACTGATCCTGCCAAAACTGTTAATAAGTAAGTGGGAAACTGAAACTGTAAATTAAAATATGAGAAAATAAATATTTATATTTATGAGGCCAAATATACAATTTAATAAAATGTTAAATAAATAAATATATTTGGAAATAATTGTAATTATTCATTTCTGTATTTTTTTTAATTTTCAGTTTGGTTTCTTCATTTATTTATTTATTTACAAATTTATAGATATTGACAATTTTGGCCAAATCAGTTCTCCATATGGAAATAGTTAGATTTGAACTGACACACAAACAACATAAAGTTTCAGATAACTATAAAACAGAAGAGCATGATTTATGGTTTGCAAAATGCTCTACAAAGTGTGGCAGGAATCTTTTTAAGCCTCCTTCACCTTAATAATTCTAAATTAAATCAACCAAACACATAACCTAACTGTGAGTAATTTGAGATATGGTTACCTGACAAGCACGCTGAGCGCTCCGAGCGGGGTTACCAGTGTGGCAGGTGCAAACGCATATGCAGCGAAGTTGGCGCCTTCTCCTACTCCCACTACAGCAAATCAGATACACCATTAGATTCTCAGGTGTATCTATAGTTCTCAAAATTAATTCTGAGAAATACATGTGTAAATGTGCTATTTAGGGGAATATAAATACAACACACACACACACAGAGTGGAGAAACATAGCTGGACCACAGTAAGTCATGTTCTTACTTGAAATGAGCCCAGCCCACCACAGCCATTCTTTCAGATAGGCGTAGCCTCCCTGACCTGTGACATAAAAGCAGCAGAGTCATGGTACTGGTTGAAAAATTCTTCATTTCAATAATAAAAAGTTCTAGCGCCAATTTTTATCATGAAGTGAGAAGCAGTGGTGCACTAGAACATACCTAATCCACAGTGGGTTTATATTCTCACACATACTAATGTGGCTTGTAATTTTGTCTTGTACAGAAAAATGTAAAAAAATATATATATATTTTTTTTTATCAAAACAGCTTAACATTTTAAATCGATATATGGTGCCCTTAACTATTGTTGTCTACTAAATAAAATCTGTAATCTTGTATTTCGTTGGAAACTTTTGTTAATGAAATCCTCACTAAGTGCAATACTTATAACTGTTTAAACTTTATAGGTTACTGACTTTAAGCATACATGTAAAAGAATGAACAAACTTTTTCTTTTTTTTTCTTGGAATTCTTAGACTTTAATAGGCCACATACAAAAATCATTTAAATCCAACATGAGAAGGTTTTTCTCCTGGAGGAGCATGAAAGTCAGAAGTCTTCTTTTAAGCAGTGGTCATAATCCACTGCTTAAAAGTTTTAGTGCATTTTAAGGTTTTGTTTAATTACTTCAAGCACTTCGACCTTTATCGTGGACTGCCACTACCTGCTCGAGTTGTGCCCTTGCTGGCCAATCGCAGCAGGCCTTTCTTTTTCAAGATGAAACTTGACCCGATAAAAATACTGGAGCTCACAGCCAGAGAGAGACCGATGTAGAAGTCCAAGCGGTTCACTTCCATCTGTAAAACCCACCAAAACTCGAGTTACAACTGGATAAAAAAGTAAATATATAAACGAATATGAAAGTCAAGCAGCAGATATCATGTGTGGATATCACATGATTAGATGACATCCCCCGACTAGTTCAGCCAACTTCTATAACAAATTAAAGTCGCTGTGCGATGAAAAAAAAATACATTCCTAATCACATTACCCTGAAAACATCATTTTCCAACCGAAAAGTGAAACTGTTATTAAAATGTTTTACCTCGATTGTCGACTTGGCTTCATTTAGGTGACAACAGGAAGTGAAGCACCCGATTGGCCGAGAAAGGCTGGGTTTCACTGCGCTACTTCCTGGTGTTTGCTTTGAAACGAAAAGATAAGAAGCCTGTGTGCAGCTCGCGATGCAAGCAGCACACACAATAAATAAAATCGGCACAGAATGAATAATTAAATTAATTAAAAAAAACTATTTTCAAATATATTTATATATTTACAGTTTAATGTAATAATGTATTTACATATTCTCATCATTTGTATTATTAATTTAATTTACTTTTTATTTTTTTTATTTGAAAATTGTAAAAAATATTGGCTGATATGAATATAATAACAAAAATTTACTAGGAGTTTCTGAACTTAACTTCTAATTAACACAAAAAGGTTCAACAAAATGTTTAATAGTATAGAAATAAAATAGTATAACTTTGATTCTAAACAACATAGATGTTTTCTAAAACTTTAACAATATTTTTTTATTTTGCCAATAAAGTTATTGAAAAAAATGTAAACAAGAATTCTTTAATCTGATTGGTGGTGTAGTTCTTTCAGCGTTCTGATTGGATTGCGGATTTTCATTGACAGTTACCGGAAGTAGCGCTAACCTTGAGCAGCAGGCTAGCCACATGCACAGTAAGCTCACGCAAATGAATTTTTTTAAATGACTAAAACCTCTTTAACTGAAGCATTTCACCACGAATATTGTCATGTCTGCCATGTAGGCTACTTGTTCTTAGCCGCTTTCAGCTCTTCACTCCCTGGTTTGAGTTTCCTCGTCTTGTTGGAGTCGTCTGAGATGCAACGATGAGGTTTCCTTTTCTTACAGTCACCAGCGGCTGGAAGACTTTCTATGGATTCCTGCAAAGAGGACTTTTGTCAGCAGACCAGAGACTGTGGAGCTCAGCTTTGAAATGCAGCAGGAGCAGCAGTCAGCTGAGCAAAGAAAAGTGTTTCTACATAACAACCCCGATCTTCTATGTGAACGCTGCTCCTCATCTCGGCCACCTTTACTCAGCCGTGATTGCTGACTGCCTACACAGGTGGAAACTCCTGCAGGGTTTTGAGTCAAGATTTGCCACAGGTAAATCCTACTTCCTGAAAAAGTCAAAGTATTTGACTTGGATCGAATGTGATAAACCAGCACAAAATAGTTGCATAGTTGGGTGTTGAAAAAAAAAAAAAACGTGTTTCAGACTTATTTCTAAAAATCAGAAAAATGCAATATAAAAACGTTTTACAGTAATTACATCTACTTGAAAATGGTTAAAGGGCCTATTTGACACATATGACAAACCGTATGATGACATTTTTATGTAGAGCAGTGGTCCCCAACTCCCGGGCCGCGGACCAATTGGTACCGGGCCGCGCAAGAAATAATTAAATATTTACGTTTTATGTATTATTTTGAATCTGAAGGATCTTTTATTTTGAAAATCCTTTAACCGGATTCTCTCGGTTACGTCTTGCGCGGGTTAGGGTTCATAAGAAACAGATGAGATGTCTTTGGGAAGTTTCTTTGCAAAGGGGAAAGGCGAGAGAAGAGACAGGAGGATGGATTTGTTTGTTCCCACATTCCAAGCTGCTCTGCATGACACGTCACCGACTGTTAATGAGGGAATGACGCTGCAAACTGCTTCTCCACGTAGAAACCAGGCAGCCTGTGCATCAACAACACTTCATTGTCTCCCATCACTCCCGGATGGGACCGTCTCGTTGCAGAGAAACGAGCTCTGGGCTCCCATTAGTCGTTATCCTGAGTTAACATGTTCACGAAAGTAAAACGTTCGTTTTCGTGCCGCATTTGTGTCTTATTTTGAAGGAATGCGTAAACGTTACACCATTAGCGACCAGAGTCGGAGCGTGTTAGGGCAGTGGCAGTGGTCGAGAAGAGAAGAGCTTGTGAGTTTTAGGTCTGGTTCACTCAACGATTTAAGGGACGATTTTCCAAACCTCGTGACCACAGAGCCGATAAAAGTCCAACAGGTTCGGTCGGTTCGTGCGTCCAGCCACACGGCAGGAGCAACGCGCCACAAGAACCGATTCCACTCACGAACATCCCGGTTCCAGAAGAAAATCCAGTAAAACCACCCCCAACATACCATACGTGAATTTAGAATAATCAAACATGGATGACGATGTAGAAACAGTGGTAACAGTTTGATAAAAGAAAAGGCGTTTGATAAAAGGAGAGCAGTCGCTCTATTTGCTGCAGGTGAGTTATGTTTTTTCATAGTTAACATTTTTAACTGAATAAACATAACCACATACAATAAACATATAAAAATGTCTTTTTCATATAATAATAAACATTTCCACACATCACCTCCGACGTCCACCGGATTTTGGTTGCCATATCAACTTTTTGGGATTCCCCTCCGCTCTTACGTCACCGCGCTTTCTGATTGGCTCCCGGTCACATTCAACAGGTTGAGTTCTGGCTCCCACGCAGGGAAAAACCACGCAGGCTGCGATAATCGGCCCAAGACAAACTTGCCCGATTTTAGATCGGGCATTTTCAAAACGCTGAGAAATATTGGATAAATTAGAGGAAATTGATAGTAAAGAGGAAACAAAATCGAATAAATTAGGGAATTAAATAGAAGATAAATGAGAAAAATTCTGAAGATATATGTGAGGAAATTTAAAATGCATAAGGAAAAGTATGAATATGAGGAAATAAAATGTTAAATTAACATATTTGCAAATATTATTTATTAACACATCTGATAACCGATATCTGCTGTTTTATTTCTTCATCGTCAGTATTAGCTCCATATTTTGCTACACTGCAGATGTAATGATTAATATAATAAACCAATGTATATTTTTCAACCACAGGAACAGATGAGCATGGCCTGAAAATCCAGCAAGCGGCTGAAGCTGCAGGAAAAGATCCTCTGACTTTCTGTACTGAAGTGTCTCAGCGTTTTGAAACGCTCTTCAGCAGCTGCAGCGTTTCCTTCACCGACTACATCAGAACCACAGAGCAGAGACACCGTCTGGCCGTGGAGCATTTCTGGTCAGTGCTCTGGAACAAAGGGCTCATCTACAAAGGAATCTATGAGGGCTGGTACTCCACACAAGATGAAAGCTTCCTGGTGCCATCGCAGGTCGGCGATGCTCTGGACCCATCGGGGAAGGAGGTCAAAGTGTCACTCGAGAGTGGACATAAGGTAAATGTGAATGTGGAGGGCTCATGCTGCCAAAATTGACAAATAAATAAATGTGAACATAAAAATGCAAATTGTATGTAAGAAAATTAAATTCAAAAGAAATTTGGGAATATGTTGGAATTATCTAATTGCATTTTTGTTCAACTTTATATATTTATTTAGTTTCATTTATTAATTTCCTAATTTTACCAATTTTTTAAAATTAATTTATTTCCTCATTTATTCTTAGCAAATTTTGGCAATCAGTCTTCTATACTAGTACTCCATTACTGAGGTTTCATAAATGATGTTACTGTTTTACAGGTGGAGTGGATGAAAGAGGAGAACTATATGTTCCGTCTATCCTCTTTTCGATCTCTTCTCCTTGACTGGCTTGTGAAAAATCCCGGTGCCGTCCAGCCGGAGCGCTTCCATCAGGCCGTTCTGCAGTGGCTGCAGGAAGACCTTCCGGACCTCTCCGTGTCTCGTCAGAGGAGTCGTCTTCAGTGGGGCATACCGGTCCCAGGAGATCCTGAACAAACCATCTACGTATGGCTGGACGCTCTGGTGAATTACCTCACGGTTGTTGGTTACCCAGACAAACATGAGCGGTGGTGGCACGTTGCCCACCACGTTATAGGAAAGGACATCCTGAAGTTCCACGCCATCTACTGGCCTGCTTTCCTTCTAGGAGCAGGGCTGCCTCTGCCGCAGGTCATCCATGTTCACTCGCACTGGACTGTCGGAGGGAGGAAGATGTCGAAAAGTTTGGGTAACGTTGTGGATCCTTTTGAGCATTCTCAGATGTTTACTAATGACGGCATGAGGTACTTCCTGTTGCGTCAGGGAGTCCCAGACACAGACTGCAACTACACTCATGACAAAGTGCAAAAACTTCTCAATGCGGAGCTCGCAGACTCTTTAGGTGGTCTGCTGAACCGCATCACAGCTCCAACCCTCAACCCAGCTCAGGTCTACCCTGCTTTCTGCAGTCATTCCTTCCCCAGAGACCGGCGTGGCAGAGCGGTGGAGGAAGATTACCACATGGTGGAAACTGTAAGAAGTCTATCCACTGTGGTAGAGAAGCACTACGAGGGCATGCAGGTGTATAAAGCTTTGGAAGCCATCAGTGCATGCGTGAAACAGACGAACGGTTTTGTTCAGCGTCACACACCTTGGAAACTGGACAGGAGCGACAGCAAAGATGGCCGCTGGTTAGACACAATCATCCACTTGACTCTCGAATGCTTGAGGGTTTATGGGACTCTCCTCCAGCCGGTGGTGCCGGAGATTTCAGACAGGCTGCTAACTAGACTCGGTGTGCAATCACAAGAGAGAAGCTGGAAAGATCTGAATTTTTTGGGGAGATATTTCGGAACAGACTGTTCGTTTGAAGGGAGGCCATTGGGGTCAAACTGTGGGTTGCTTTTTAGCAGACTGGAAACTCAGAGTGGAGCAAAACAAAAAACAATGAAAAGTAAAAAACCTGCACAGAAGAGGTGACTGGTTTCATGCAGTATTTTCATTTTAGCTGATATCAAATAATCTTGGAACACAAAAATATACATTCAAGCTGTTACAATAAAATATCCTGACTTAAACTACAACATTGTCAGAACCCTTTTCTACTTTACATGTTAAACTACTTATTATGGCAATATAAAAGCTATAGTAAAAGGTGAATCTCAAAATTAGTGACAGCAAAAAAGTAAAATACAGAGTGAAATGTATCAAGAGCTTATTGGTGTGAATGCTGAGGGCATTCACCTTGAGTTCCTTCCCTATTTTACACCACTTAACTTTACCATATATTATATTTTGTGCTATTTTAACCATTAAACTTTGAAAATATTCTGCTTAACGCTTCATTGTGTCTCAGTGAATTTTTACAAGCTTAATTAAATTACTGGAATAAATAAGCTTTCTAACTATATATGTATTTCTGTAGATAAAATACCTAAATTCTGTTTATGTATATCAGGATTTTTATAAGACTTTAAAATGGCATGAAGATCTCCTGATATAATAATCTTTGTCACTATGCATCCTCTAGGATTGATCTCTCCCCGCCCAAAAAAGATGCTCTATGACAGCCAACACAAGTACAAGACATAAAAACTGACATGATTTTTTTAATGAGAAATACACAAAACTGGAAATGAAAATTGTACAAATTGAAATAAAATAAAAAAAAGCATTATTTTAATTGTATTTTTTTTACATAGACTCTTTAGTCATTAAACATGTTATATCAGGTTCCCTCTTCTGAAACTTCATAATTTTACAACTGAAATCTTGTAGCCGGTTTTGGTTTTTGTTCATCATGATCATTTAATGGTCCTTCCCAGTCTTTGCTTCCTGATTCTTTCAATTAACTAACTTACCAAACAGATCTTTGTTCAAAAAACAAGAATTTACCCCCAACAAGACTATAGATGAGCATGATTAATAGTAGGAACTGGTGCCTTGTCCTGGCTGTGTATCTGAAACGAGAGAAAAACATCAGCTAAATGTTTGAAGTTCAAGAACTATGGAGGAGAATTAGGGTCACCGTGAGTTTTTTAAAATTTATTTATTGTTACAGTTGCTGAAATTACGATACAAAAAATGATGTAATTGTGATACACATTCTGTTTTGCTCTTTCTCTAGACTTCAGCTCATTATTCTGGTTGAGGCGCTGCATGTTGGGCCAATTATTCCCTCTGGTTTTGAATGCTGTGCAGCTGGAAGAATTTTTGCTCCTACTTTCTTTTTTAAAACAACTTTTGGACTATTAAGACACGTAACCACAGAGACAAGGTGTTGTTTTTGCAACTAGGTGCATCCGATTAGCATCTCAAAAGCCCAAATACTTGAACTCTGACCCCACATAGTTAAAAAAAAAATGAAAAAGTGGAAAAAAAGCATCAACAATGGAGTCAAGAAGACTATTTTAAAATAAGATTTAATGAACTCTTATGCTTTTGGGATAAAACCATGCTTTGGAGTGTATTTTACAGCCCCTGATACTCTTATGTACAGGGTTGAAAAACAAGCAAGATGTCAGACGAAGGTTTTGACTTACTTGAGAGTTGTTGCTGCAGCTGCCGAACCAGTGCTGCAGTCTGCTGCTGCTGTTGGGTCTGCTGCATTCCTGGTCGAGGAAACTGCAACAGATGTGCACAAGTTTATCCTACAGGCTGTTTGTTTTGTACGTTTCATACTGCAAGCACAGCCAGGACACAGTGGATAATCAAACACAAAACACTGGAAAAGTTTAAAATGATTCCAAAACTGTCATTGTGTGATCAAACTTATTTTGAATAGTTCAAGAATAATAGTCTACATTTACGGTTTCAATTATTTGTCATAGCTTAAGAACTAAACCTAAAGTTGTTGCTTTTAGGATGCATCAGAGTCAAATAAAATAAGAGTTTCACATAAACAGGAACTACTTTTAATACAATGATTTCACACTCAATCAAAACACCCAAGTGGAAAAAGAGACAAAAAACCCATCAATATTTTTTTTAAATAAATTTTTAAAAAGATTTTATGGTCTGAAAAATCATCAAAACATTAAATAGATAATTCATATTTTTATGAGTGTTTTTGTAGCTTTTTTATAGACAGGTGTATTTATGGTGATCCTGATTTATGAGTTGTCTGGATGATTAATCCTGCTAACATCCCATAAAGGAAAAGCCAAAGAGAAAGTTAAATGAAAAAGCACTTTCAGTTTTAGGATTGCTTATTTGGCAGAATCAGCAAGCGTGGGCTCCATATTATCCAGAGAACGCTTTATGGACCAATTTATTTTATATTTAATCATTTTTAAGGGCATCTTTTGCTTTTTAGGTAATTTATTTAAAGAAATTCAACTTTAGTAAATGGGATACAGGAAATTAAATGTGAAAAACCATGAAATGTCCAATCTTCTCAAGCTTTTTAAAGCCTAGGTAGAAACCCAGACTGTTTTATCCTCTCTCTGGTCTCACCATGGGCTGCTGGGGAGGCAGTGGCTGCATGCCCAGGCCCTGGTTTTGCGTCTGGCCCGGAGGGGGAACAGCCGACACCTGCTGCTGTTGCTGCTGAGGCACCTGCTGCTGTGGAGGAACCTGCTGAGGCTGAACCTGCTGCTGCTGCGGTTGCTGCTGCTGCTGCTGTTGTTGTTGCTGCTGCTGCTGTTGCTGCTGCTGAGCTTGAGCCTGTTGCTTGAAACAAAAACAAACCAGAGTAGGACGCATGAGTCAGAAGGACACGCATTTAAACCGGCAGATTAAATATGAATGAGGGTATTGCTTGTATAAAAGCCAAGTCTGTGACATACTCTGAGTGCTTGCTGTCTGAGGAATGAATGCTGTTGTTGCTGCGCTGCTTGCTGCTGCTGTGCTGCTTGTTGCTGCTCTGTCAGCATCTGATTGGGCCGAAGGTTTGTATACATCCCCTGCGCTCCCACAGGACCCAGGCTGTGCATGACAGAACTTTGTTGGATGGGCTGGTGGGGAAATCTGATGATTAGAAGAAGAAAGATGACACAGGCAGTGATGAAGACAAATGTTTTTACTGGAAAACTGGCCACATACAAAGAAAATACGCTTTACTTGCAGATGAAATCATGAAATATGGTGCTATAAAAACCTTAAATTTTACTTTCATATAAAAAAAAGTGGACTACTGAGAAATATTCCAGTCTTTGGTTGAATCGCTTCTGATATGTTTGTGTTTATTATAATAGATTGTTTACTGATTACTTTTGTTTCACTAATGATTCCTGATCAATAAGTGGTGTCCTGACTTTTTTTTTTTAAACTTTATTTTTAACCCTAACTCTGTTAATTTTATCAAAAAGTACTGATAGCCGCTTTGAAGCAACTACCAATTGTTTGATGTTAGCAGTTATAAGTAGATCGATAAAGATCTTTTTGAAAGTCATCATTGTCAAAATTTGTTTATTGCCTGAAACAACATAACAAAAATGTATATTTTTTTTGTTGTTTGGATATTTTGGTCTTGCTGATATTCTAATAAAGCGGAGTGTTTACCAACCTGGGTGTGTTCTGCATATTGTGTGGATACCCCGGCGCTTGCTGGTGAACGTAACCGCTGGACCTCTGTTGCATCTGTCTCAGTGGCTCCACCACACCTGGGTTGGCTCCTGGATGAGCGCCAGGGAAGTTCTGGGCTACGTAGGAGGAAGGAGCTATACCGCCACCTTGAGAAGGATGCTGCTGCATGCCCATATGCGTTGCATATGTGGTATAGCCCTGACAACATATAAATATAAACCAAATTGTGACTCTGCGTGTGCAGATAATTCCAACAATTGGGAACCAAAAAAGAAAAGCCACCAATCAAACGCACCTGCGATGATTGCATTTGGGGATATGGTTGGTTCGGTGTCATCTGCCTCATCTGTGGTCCTATGGTATTTTGACTTTGCTAATAGAAATGATGAGACGAATTAAAACATGAAAAGTCCAAAAATATGTATCGAGTTTGACAAAACCCAAAATAGGCCTGAGCTGGTTACAGCATCAAGGTATAAAAATGATTCAAACAGAATAAAAAAAAATTGTATTCTGCCATACTGTTCCTGTGGTTTAAGTATTGTTAATAACTATTAAGCTGGTGTGAAATATTTTTGGCTTACTTGTTATAACAGGATTCATTAGTAATACTTAAAATAAAATCTGATTTGTAAAAATATTTCTGGTTTTCTAGTTTCTAGACAGAGCACTTGGGATTTTTTCCATCGTATTAAACATTTATTTTTGTTGATCAAACATGATTCACGTCCCTAACTCACCAGTCGGACCACTAACTGCTGCCGCAGGTTCGGAGGCACGTTGGGTTGAGGCTTGTAAGGAATTGGGTAGAGCTTGTCCATGGGTGGGTAGTTGGGTCGAGTGGTTATCATCTTGGGCATCGGTGTGTTGCGGGTTGGCCTGTATGGGGGCTCCAAACCCGGACCACCTGTAGGAAACAAAGGGCCGGGACGTCAAAGGACGTTGAGTGTGTTGCGGTTTCAGAGGGGGAGGATTGCTGCTGAGAGCCAGAATGGGACGTACGATTGGGATGAAAGTATTCTGTGGGCTGACCTGGAGGCAGGGGCTGATTCTGGGGGAAAACGCCCATGGACGGCTGACCGTAGGGAATCCGATTATACAGGTTGGTCTGCACCGACTCTGTTGGCACGTTGTGGACGTAGGTCATGTTGGGCTGTGTGCGGTTCAAAAACTCCTACCAAAGGAAAATAAAATAGTTATATTTAGAAATCATAGCGTCAAAATCATCTAAAAGTATATTTAAGCTTCATAGATCACTGACTCCTTCCTTGGGTTGATTCTTCTTCTTCTTTGGTTTCTTCTTGCTGGACTCCGAGGCAACAGCAGCTACGCTCTTGTCCGCTTTCACAACTTCCATCATCTTCTTCTCCGGCTCCTGGGAGATGGGCGTCAGAGGCTCCTCCTCCTCCGGTGGAAGGGGCAGCGGCTCCAGGTAGTAGCTGCGTGGCTTGGGCTTCAGGTGGGTGTGATAGAGTAGGAAGCGCTGCTGCTCCTCGAACTTGGCGATCTTGCGGTCCACGCGAACCGTTCCGAACCAGCCCCAGGAGAGCGGCGCCGAGTGCTTCAGACCCTCGAACACGTCCCAGGGAGAAATCTTCTGCTTGGTTGAGACTTGAAGACCCTGAGCCAATCAGAGAACAGCTTCAATAATTACAAAATGTGCTTTTGAGAGATTCAGTTACATGGGTTTAAACAAAGCACGAGGCAGAAAGAATAAAAGGGGAAAAAAAAGAAAGAAAATCGAGAAAGAATAAGTACACTAGTAAGGGATGGAGATAGGATGCAAAGAAGGGAGGATATGAAGAAAGAACAGAAGACAATGAAAGAAGGACAATAAATACAGGGAAAAGGGGGATGGCAGCTAAAACACAAGGAAGAAAGAAACACATGAGCAGTGACAGAAAGAAGAGAGGTAAGACAAGAAAGAGGAAGGAAGATGGGGC